AGTACATAGAAGTGCACATGGTGATTTTATATCTGACCAGAAAGAAAAGATAAATAAAAGAAAGAAAGGAAAGAACGAATAAATACATATGTATCTGTTATTTGAATAATACAAACAATTTCTTATACACTTGCTTTTAGATTAATATAGTAAGAAACACACTAAGTGCTACGTATAATTAGTATATTTATAAAGACAAAACATCAGAATCATAATCAACTATTAGTTTATTTTCTTGTTTATGCAACTATAAAATATGATAAGTACGAAAAAGAAGATAATCAAAGGTGTTTAGTTCATTTGACTCAAATATAAATTTATATTGAGTGGGTGGTTAGTTAATCTGTTAAATGATTGCCTTGCAGCAATTGCATAAATATTGGTGCTATATAATAGTTTGTTTTAGTTTTATCAATGCATGTGAATAAAGGATATCATTGTCGTTGTAATATCTTTTGCATAGTTCTTTTTATTTTAGGATCTTAGGTTAATTAAAAACTGGATTGTTCTACACCTGACTAGAATCATTTGTTCATTCAATTTTCATAACACAGCAAGTTTCACAATTCCTACATAAGTTTTTCCTTCGAGAGATCAATACACTAAGACAGAAGTCCTTTTTTAATGTTGTAAAGTAGTAAAAAATCAATATTTTTCAGGTGTGAAGAATGAACTGAATGAATTACCTGACGACTTTTATTATAGATAGATTAAAGACACTCCATAAGATTTCTAAGCAAGATTTTTTCGAGAGGAATTTAGTTGGAAAGTTAATCTTCTTTGTTTCTTTTCTTTTTGAAAGTATTAGTAGAACAAACTAAAGTGTTCAATTGAATATATTTATTAGCGATAAATGGCATATAATGAAAAGCAATCATAAAATGAGATCAAACTCGTAAACTAATCAGTTGACGGTTAGTAGTCGGCACTCCTCATCAGTTTCCTGTACTACAGAATCTGACGAGGGTAGATGTGACTGAGACTGTGGGTGTCGAAACTGATGTGATTCTTCCTACACACATTCAATCACATCCTCTCTCATGTAATCAGAGTATTCTTTTTGTCAAAAGATAGGATTAGTTTAGTTTCCATTGATTTAAGCAAAAAACAGTACAAGAAGCTGAAAGTATAAGCATTTATGAGTTTGAGTGAAAGATTGACAATTAGAAAGTTTTCTGAAAAGTTTCGGTATCAAGCAAACATTGACATTCGCTCCATAATGTCAAGTAGTTAATCATGGGATAATGTGGTTGGTAGAGTAAGAAAATGTCAATAAGTATGTTGAATATGATGCAGAAATAAATCTTAAGACTGTAGGACAACACTGATGGTGTGTGAACCGTGGTTTGCAGTGACAATATCGGGTTTATTGTCGTTGTTCACATCAACTACTGCTACTGACCATTTATCGGAACCAACTGCGTAAGTAACTTGAGGAGCAAAATTGACAGTGTCTACGTTGAGGAGAACACTGATGGTGTTTGAACCCTGATTTACAGTGACAATATCGAATTTATTGTCGTTGTTTACATCGGCTACTGCTACTGAGTGTGGAGCTCGACCAACTGGGTAAGTAGCTTGCGGAGAAAAAGTGCCGTTGCCTGTGTTGAGAAGAATACTGATTGTATTCGAACCACTATTTGCAGTGACAATATCCAGTTTATTATCGTTGTTCACATTGGCTACAGCTACTGCACATGGAGATGAACCAACTGAGTAATTAGTTTGACGAGAAAAAATGCCATTGCCGATGTTGAAAAGAACACTGGTGGTGTTTGAATCTCTATTTGCAGTGACAATATCAGATTTGTTGTCATTGTTTACATCAGCTACTGCTACTGCAAATGGGCGTAAACCAACTGCGTAAGTAGTTTGAGGAGAAAAAGTGCCATTGCCTCTGTTGAGAAGAACACTGATGGTGTTTGAAACATCATTTGCAGTGACAATATCGAGTTTTTTGTCGCTGTTCACATCAACTACTGCTACTGACCATGAAAATTTATCAACTGTATAAGTAGTTTGAGGAGAAAAAGTTCCGTTGCCTATGTTAAGAAGAACACTGACGGTGCCTGAATTTGCATTTGCAGTAATAATGTCGGGTTTATTGTCGCTATTTACATCGGCTACTGCAACTCCCACTGGATATGCACCAACTGAGTAAGTAATTTGAGGAGAAAAAGTACCGCTGCCTGTATTCAGAAGAACACTGACAGAGTTTGAACCAGCATTTGTAGCAATAATATCAGGTTTATTGTCATTGTTTATATCGGCTACTACCACTCCCATTGGATTTGCACCAACTGCGTAAGTAGTTTGATTAAGAAATTCAATATTCCATGCTAGCAAACAAGATAAAAGAGATATATATTATAGTTTTTATTATCAAAAAACAGTATTTCATCATCTTATTCTATGTAATCTGCAACAGTTCAGCTCAAATCAAAGCAAATCAATCAACCAATAAAATTATTCTACTATGTTTATGACTAATTCTGATCTTCGACAGTCCCGCTACTTCTATCATTTTCTTGATGCTGTTTATCGCCATCAACGACATTTATTTTAATCTATTTCAACATAAGCACAGTTATTAATCTCCAATTCAGTTAATACATTTGTCTCTTCTGCATTCATTTTTTCATATGACATCATTCTTTGCAATGTCTTTTCAATACAAAAACGAACTTTGTGACATTCTAAACAAATTCTTACGAATACATGTTGAGATGAGCTAACACTTTGCAACAATCACTAAATTATGTCTTCACTAAAGATAGATGCCAGAAAAGACTATAATTTCGACGGAACCTCACTAAAAAACATACTTCTGTTCTATTTTAGTAATATCAAGTGAATTCAGCGAAGATATTCCAGTCATATGATAGGTCGATTTATTCGAGTGCATTAGAAAATCTCTCCGCTAAAAAGGAACAGACATAGAACATATCAAAGCATAAAATGAGAATGACTGATTCTTTCTGAGATTTACATAAGAAGTTTAACCTGAACAAGAGGGATCCAGGAGAAATAAAATTTGTTCTCTTTTACTTTTCTATACAATATAGTAGTTTCTTTAATACTTTTGCTCACTCCTTTAAGCATTTATACAAAAGTAAAATCTAACAGACAAAGGTCGACATGTACATATAAAGTTAAAACTGAATAAACTTTGTGTTTCGTGGATCTATCGCTAGTTACTGTAGCTTCGAGCTAAGTTCTCCCTTAAAGATTCTGGATTTCATTCTACACAAGTCTATCCCATAAAGATAAAAGTAAATAAAATTATTTTAGTAATACTACACATATATAATGTAAGTAACTTTCAAAATGATATCCACAAAGAGATGTTGTCTGAAAATTACTTATCATGATCAGACATATTTAGCAAATAAAAACCAGGAACTTCTAAGAGTATAATTTCTCAAACTGAACAAAAATTGATCGATTGGCATCTAAAAAAGGTACTATGATTCGTGTGGAATATTACTGACCGATTGACGTTGTTGTTGTTATTGCTGTTACTGTTGTTGTTTTCGACGTTGTTAACGATGACGATGACGACGATGTTGATGTTGTTGCTGACATTTCGGTTTTTATTATTGTTGTTGTTCGTGTTATAGGTTTTTTTGTTGTTGTTGTTGTCGATTTAATTTCACTCTTCTTTCCGTTTGGCATAATTACATTATGAAAATATGCTTGTTTTATTTGATCATCCGTTATTTTAGCCCCTGACAAATCACTGTTTGAAAAGTGTGCACCGGCCAGATTTGAATTTCCAAAATCTGCTCCCGACAGATTTACACCATTAAAACTAGCACAAAGTAAAGATGAACCATCAAATTTAACGCTATCCAACCGTCCTCCATCAAATGATACACCGTTTAAACTAGCAAATGAAAATACTGCATTTGACATTGATACCTGATCAAAAGACACACATTGTAAATTCAACTTATTTAATACACCAGTTTCACTTGCTAAATGTACATTATCAAAGTTTAATTCATTCAAGCGGATTATATCATCTAATTCGGTGGTTCTACATCCACTAGTACAATTATTTCTGCCAATTAGTTGTTTTTCTTTCAAAAATTGTATAATATCTGCCTTACGTATTGTATCCCATTGACGATGAGCAGCACGATAATATGCATTTGCAAATGCCCATGGATTTTTTGTGTCATTGAGATAACCATAATTATCCAATTTAAAAATATTATTTATAAATTCATCATAAAGTGTTCGTTGTCTTAATTTTTCAACTTGTTCTAAATCAAACTGCCGTATTTTTTCAGCTTGTTCCAAATCAAACTGTCGTGTTCTTTCAGCTTCTCGTTTTTGTTGTTGAGACCCAATTGTAGTATAAATAGCAAGAGCTATGGGTATAGCAGCTGAGCATAGAATAGTCAGTATGTCTTTAAATGTAAAATGCCAAAACACTCGTTTGCTTAAATTTACCATTGTCTCAATCTGATTTCAGAATTAAAAATAAAATATTGTGATGTGTTCGAATACAAAGAAACACAATAGCTTCTACTAACTAATTTTTCTCTTCTGCCGTTTTTTTGTTATTTAATAACATATTAGTTAACAATTTTACTCGTATTTTCTAAATTAAATGTTACAAAAAAAAAATAAGTAAATATCCATTACAAGCACAACAATAATTAGAAAAATAGTTTCTTACTACTTGCAATATATTGAACATTGATTTTGATATAGGATAGCTACAGTGTATAAATACTGATAAATGAAGATCGCAGGAGACGATGGAAGAAGAAAACTTATATTGTTGATTTAAATATCGGAGATTTCTTTGTTTGTCGACATACGATACAAAATCATAGAAGATAATTAATTCTCCGAGATAATGGAAAGCATATTTTGAGAGTAACTGTGAAATGATCTGGTAATATCCATTACAAAGTTCGACAAAAACAAGAAAAGGGATACTCTGGACTTGATGAACGATATTTTTAATTAAATATTTTGTTCCACACAAATAGTTCTCAATAATTTTTTTTTCTGTCAGATATTTTATACAACAACCCTTGATATGCATAAGTTAGTCGGAAAGTGTAGTAAAAACAGTTTTAAAACTGACTCAAATTATTTAAATTTATAATTTATCAAAAATAAGAATATAATTACAAGCAAAAGACATCTTAAGGTTTGGGTGTGATTAAAAGTGACGATGATGCACTATGATTTGCTCAAACCATCACCCCACACAAACTCTTTAGTGAAAGATTTATTTCTAAAAGCTTGTGTATATTTTATTGAAAATCATAAAGAAAATATTCGAGATTAATATTATGAGCAAAAGAAAAATATTGGTGAAAATGTTTATAAATTATGGAGTAAACGTAATCAAGTAGGTTGGATAAGCCACACGATTTTCGTACACTGTATAAACTTTACTGCCATCTTTATCACCTGACACACTATTATATCGTAGACCAGAAGTTGACCCATTTTTTTTCGGAGGCCAACGCCAATTTGGATTATTCTGTTGGCAATCATATACATCTCCTGTTAAAACTTGAGCTAAGAATACTTGGTATCTACCATTTAATGATTCGAATGAATCATTAGGACACGAATACGACGCATTTTTATAAAAATATAAGCCAATACCCAACGGTCCACTTGTAGTAAAAGTCATATCGAAACCGTACTCACTATTGTAAACTTCACGGGGAGGCGTTGTTCTTGTTCCATAAAATAGTTCCAATTCAATCTCCAAATTAGGTGTTAGACACAAATCTTTTTTGAGCTGTTGACGACGGGATGCATAATGACTCCACATACGTACATTTTGCACACGTTCAATTTTATCTATTTTCACATTACTCATCGTTTCTTGCATGCGTTTTTCAATGCTAATAAACTTAGGATCATTTCTATTAATCTCAACCAAATTGCAGTTATCTTGCTGATTATCCCATTCTTTTGGTATGCTCAATTCATCGTTCTCAATTTGCATTTTCAAGATATCGTTAGAATATATAGCTATTTTCAATTTTGCATCTTGAACATTTGATTTCAAACCTTTTAAAATCATTGAGAGCTGTTCTGCATTATCTTCTTGGAAATTAATTTGAATTCGCTGTTGAGTTGCAATATTTTTTATCTGTTCTCTATGTTTAGAACTCTCTTTATCCAACTTGACGGAATATGGCTCAGAAATAATAGCATCATCAATCACTTGTCTAATTCTTTTTTCAGCTTGAGTTATTGCAGAAGTGCTAATACTTGTAATAACCCAGTCAACCTTAGTTGTTACTGTTTCCAAACTGTATAGATCCAATGGCGTAAGAAAATAATTAACGGTTGTTGCTTGTATATTTTGTGCTATTGGATAACGAATGAGATCGTGTTTATAGCTGGTATTCTCACTGATTTGGTGTCCACAGACAAGGCGGCCATTTAATGCCTCTGGGTTGCTTGTCAACAGTTGTTTTAAATCAGAACGAAAATGGATACTGTAATTAAGAATAGTATCACTTTCTAAATCATCAGTAGAAATTACAAGCGTCGATTCGGTAAACGTTTTCAAATATTGTTGAAACTCGGTCTCGATTTGACATGTATGATTTTCATCATAAATCTTCTCGCCATCACTTGTTTGGCAACACCATTTAGCCGCTAACTGAAGCAACTGATCATTCGCAATATTATTATCATCTGCAAGTACATTTCGATGATCGACAATAATTTCATGTGCAAATAAATCACATGCTGTGTCATTTGTGTCTACTAGAATAACTTCTTTCATTGTTGATTGTGGATAATCAGCAAAGAATTGCTTTACTGCACGAACAACAATATTCGTACAATCTGGTAGTGTAAAGCCAACCATATCAGAATTAACAGCTGCTAAAGCAACGATGGCACAGCGTTCTTTTTCAGCCAGTCGTAAACTAGATAAGATACTGGAAAATAATAAGTGACGTTCTTTTTGATCACCATTACTAAATTGAGGAACAACAGCATGAATGATGCATTTGAAAGGAAGATTTCCAGCAGTTGTCTTTACTACTTCACCGGCAGCAAGGGGTAATCCACCATTATCAATAATTAATTGTTTACATTCTTCATCAAGTGCAGGACCAGCAGCATCGAATATTGCTTTATTGAGTGCGCCTGCATGGTATAATGTTCCATGTGCCATATTGACAATAGCATTGATATGTTTGGTCTTTGTAATATCTCCTTTTTGTACACTAATTGTTTGACCCCGACTATTGACCACACTTGTTATAACTAAATTCATATCAGCATCATCAGACGTATATAATGTTGAACTCCTCTTCGTGGCTGCGACATCCCAAATAATAGTGTTCGTCTTACGCTCAATAGATACGACTATCTTATATGTATTAGCTCGAAGTAAGTCTGACTCGTCTGGTAATAACTGCAAGCGGCTTGTCACAATCTTTTGTTTAATATCATCAATAATAGAATTGATCTTTTGTTTGATATCTACGACAATATCAGAACGACCTTGCAATTTCAATCCATCACGATTTTTAGATTCGATAAAAACGTTGTGAGCTCTTGCTTCATCAAGCACCGAAATGATAGCTTGGTTGACAAAACGACGACTATCTAATGGAATAGGAATAAATTCAGTAATACGCTTTATTTGAGGTTTTTTTTCTACTCTCAAACCGAGTAAAGCTTCTTTAATATCATCTGCAATCTCTTTCGATGAGCCAGGAATAGTGATAGTACTCGTTTCTGGATCTAATTGTATATTAGTATCCCATTGCTTTTGAAATTCCTGGATAGGTGGCGATTTTTTAACTATTAACATATTATGTATAGCAAGATAATCATCTGCAGATAATTTCCAAATAACATATCCTTCTATAATATTTTGGCATTGTTCAGTTAGGCCATCAACTGCTTCTGCATTGAAGCCAACTATTGATATAGCAACATTTGGTTCTATCTCTCTTTTCTCAGCCGCTGTGTAACGTTTAATCCGTCCTATTGCATCAAAATCATCTGATTCCTGTAATTTTCTGAGACGTAAACGAAGAATTTCCGAGATATTCTTTGAAATCTCCCAGCTTTGACAAGGAAATTGTTTTTCTTGTTCAGATAAAGATTCAAGAAAGTTTTCAATATTTGCTTGTGCTGCATCGATGTGCGAATTTGAACCAACGAGTTTTAAGCAATTATGTTTATCATTTTCTTTTTCGTTATTTCCATGTCTCTCACGCAATACTGGATTAATTATTAATTCTATTCGACTAGTTCTTTCTAGGTTTCTGATGACAGATGACGCTTTTGCTCGAAGAAAAACTGCCATCGCTTTTGAAATAGGAAGTTGTACTTCAGTTTTAACATTATCCGCTAAATAAGTTTTCAGTTTGACTACGGCATTGTTTACATGATTTTGAAATCCCTTCAGTTCCACACACATGACACCATGTCGATTTTTAACAAAGACCAGTACAATAGCATTAGGAATGGAGCGAAGAAAATCAATAAAATGAAATTTAATTTGGAAAATTATTTTAAGATTTGCAGGTTGTTTTCGTGGAGGATTGCCTTTTTGTGGTTGATTTAAAATGTATGCTATCTCATCTTGTGTTAACGACCATGATTGGCTGACTAAACTATAACTTTCTAGTTCTTTGACAGCCTTGAATAGTGAGTCATTGGAGTTACTACATAATGTCACCTGTATAAATTTTTGATCGTTCTGACGACCACGCTTAACATTGCTAAATGAAGCTGTAGTACTTGCTGATGCATTTGAAATAACACTTTTGTTATCATCATCATCATCATCATCATCATCGTCATTATCTTGGTCGTTGTTGTCTTTGAGATGATTCCCATTACTATCATTATTCTCTTGGTTTTCTCCATTGTTTTTAATTGTAACCATTTTTTCTGTAGTCAAAGATCCATGTGTTATTGTTTGATTGAAAGACACACCTGCACGATGTTTGCTTAAAAAATTTCTCATTAAATGTTCGTTACCAAGTTCAAGATATTTCTTCAAGTTAAGAGCAATCATCACATTCTGTTCAAGAAGTATTCTTGCAAGATAAGACTTTACATTTTCAATTGCTGCCATACGTCCAGATAGCCAAAGTTTACGATCTGTAAATTTTCTATCTGTAATACCTGGCTTTTTTCGTATCGTAGCGAAGATATTGGCACCAAAACGTTTAAGGAAATCACATTTCGCATCACTCAACTCTATAATCTCGGATGATCGTGTCTCTGGTGAGTTAGGTTGATTAGTCGGATGGAGATATTGACAATTACCCTTATTCTTACATTGATTTCCATATTGACATTTTCGTGCACGACCTGGTGGATGGATGTCACTACACTCATAATTGATACATTGCACCCTTTCATTACAAATACTTCGTTCTTCAGGGTGCCAGTATCTACAATTAGGATTGTAACATCGAACACCATTCATACATGGCCTTTCATTAGAAGGTAATGGTTGAGTAGATGGTTGGTGTGTTGGAACTAAAATATGAGACAATACAATATAACATAACATTGCTATTTCTGCATTTTAACGATGCTTAACTAAGAAAAGGAAACACCTTCTTCAGTGTATGGATCTGACAGAGGGAGCTATTCCTTACAGACTGCTGAGTTCTCTATGATAGTATGATAAAGAAAGAGAGATATCCGAGGATCGTGCATATATATATAAATATTTTCATTCAAGTATAAAATGTCTACGAACTTCGTCTAACACGACAGATAAAAGTTTTCTCATCGTAATTATAAAAAAACTATCTAAGAGAAAAGGAACTTAAATACAAAATCAGTGATAATTGACACTTATTCTCTCGATTAACTTACCAATAGAATTAGTAGTTAATTTATATTCAGTTTTGAATTCTATTGATTTTTGATGCCATTCAACACTCGTGTTAAAATCTCCTGCCTGTGATGTAAGGTTGCCAAGATCTTCATATAAAGTGGCACGTAAAGGATCGTTTGGTAGCAGTTGTTGTAAAAACCGTTCCAAATATTTTTTAGCGAAATTAAATTTGCCCATTTTCCACAATACGTTCGCTAATGTTTGAAGATTTGTTTCTCCACTTCCAGTTTGTTCTTTCATATGAATAAGAACATTTTTTAAATCATGTTCATCATCACCGCACAAACTCATTTTAATAATCCATATATGACCATCTGTAGGATCACGATCAACACTTTGAAGATGAAAAATTGAACCAAGCATAAATAGCACTTCGGCTTCAGTTGAATAAAAACTCAATGAACTAATATCAGCAAATGGTTTGGTTGTAACCATCTTAGGATCAGCATGAATTTTAAATAAAACTCTTTGTAAATCGGACGATTTATCAGCAACACCAAGAAATGAACGAGCTTGTTTTTCATCAGTACTAGTGGACAAGAATGAATTTATCGAAATATATTGACCAATAGATTGTTTTAAAGTTTTAAGTTCATCACTTGACATCTTTTGACTTCGATAAACTTGTAAACAATTCTTAGCTTGATTTGTTTGTAATTGGCGATGAATGTCAGAAATAAATGCACGATATAGAAACATCATATCAATATTTCGAGTACGTAGAGCTCCATTAAGTGTTTTATAAAAAAATGATTCTTTTGTATACCACCATAAGGCTTTATCAGATGAATAATCTTGTTCAAACTCACGAATATTATCCAATTCAATCGAATTACCTTTGTGAGAATATTGACAGATGTCAACAAGTTCCTTTTTGTCTGCATCAGTAGATTTTAGTCGTAGAAGACAATCAATAAGAACCTGAAAGAAAACAAATTCACCTTGGACACCTATTGTTGATTTGTCTGCATTTGTTGTATAAATGTTCATTGATAATGGTTCTTCCACTTTTTTTTGAATTTCATGATCTGATTTAATGCGAGAAACAAGTTCATCAAGTTTAACAATAACAGCTTTCACCTGTAAACAATGACAAAATAAAATCCAATACCTATTTTTAATAATTTTACCTTTCCGAATTTCAAAGCCCATTCTTCATTACCTTTCTGATCCATACAATATACATAAATTGATATGACTTGTCGAAGTTTATGAATAGAAGGTACTATTTCTCTACCTAATCGACCACTAACAATGAGTACTAGTCGATCGTTTTCTGATCTTTCTTCAATATATTGTTGACATTGTTTGACGTCCTGAAAGTTTTTCAAACGATTAATAATAGAACGCAATTGTTGTTCTGTTTCTCTAGGTTCTTTAACATTCGAATCAAGCCAGATAAGACCGAATACCTCCAGATTTTCAATGTCGGCAGTTGTACAAACATCATCATTTGGTGAAATAGGAGTCGGAATAATATACGAGAGTGTATCGAAGAAATTTTTAATAAAGTTCATATTTGATTTAACTATCGACTAAAATATATTTTCGACGATCTAAAAAAGATGTCAAGTTCTAATACTGGTTTTCTTAGAGTTGATGATAGATAAAAAGAGGGTATAGTTGTTATATCTATATCATACTCACACTCACACCTCAACTGAAGGTCGCTATTGGGGAAGCAACACCTAATAACAAACGAGAATACTCTTTATCGTAGACTGATGGTTTCTCAACTAAGGCATTGAAAAAAAATGATCGCAAATATACCATTCAAAAGAGCACTGTAAAACACATTTTTTGCGTTGCTATTAGAGAAAGTGACTGTGATCAAAGCAGGTGAATTATTACAACACTAGACAAACGGAGAAAGAGAAAAAATCCAACGAAGAAAAGCAAATTTTTAAAAATATGTTTGTTTGTTTGCTTCGTCATGGAGGAATAGAAACAATTTTTTTGTCTTTCGTGCAGTCACTTTATTTTACTGCTCAAGGCTACCATTGGAATATTCGAAGAAATGCATCACATTCAAATTTAAAAGTGCTTTCTCGTTTCTAACTGCGTCATGCAAAATTCCCCGTTCTGAATTTGTTGCATCGATCATATTTTCGACAAATCTTGAAATGATGCTTCCCACATAACGTTTCCTTTGATTATAGAAGGATGTGGGTGATATAGTTATCCCACATCTTCACGCAACGCTTTTCTGGTAAACTAACTATCAACTGTATTGCTACATTCCGAATATTTCTTGGTCCACATTTCAAACGTGATGATCATTTACAACTTTTCTGAAGACTGTCCGACTATGAGGCTTTCAGATATTTTTCTTTAGTTTTACCGAAAATCCTCTTGGCATTTGTAAATAACAGAGTCATTAATAGATTTATTGAAATAATCAAAAATAAGGTATTAAGAAACGAATGAAAGAATCATATTTAATCGCACCTGATCATTTTATTTATTTTTTGATCGATTTCTTTTAATATTCATTTATAAATGTGTGCTATGCGGCAATGATGCCACAGAATATTGTTCTTTACTAGGGAAAGATCTTCATTTGTCGTTCACAACAAATGCGATTTCGATGTGGATTTCTTGAGACTATTTTCTTTATCAACAATATATACAAACTGAAGTGTTTAATTGGATATATTTATTAGTGATAAATAACATATGATGAAAAGCAATTATAAAATGTGATCAAACTCGCAAACTAATCAATTGGCGATTAATAGTCGGCACTTCTCATCAGTTTCCAGTACTATAGAACCTGATGAGGGTAGATGTGACTGTAGGTGTAGATACTGATGTGATTCTTCATATCCACGCCCAATCACATCCTCAACCATGTACTCAAGCTATTATTTTCGTCACAAGATAAGGTCAGTTCGATTTCAATCGATTCAAGCAAAAAAGAACAGTACAAGAAGCTGAAAGTGTAAGCATTAATGAGTTTGAGGAAAAGATTTGTAATGGAAAAGTTTTATGAAAAGTCTTGGTATCGAGCGAACATTGTTAGTCGCTCCATATTGTTAAGTGGTTAATTATTGGATAATGTTGTTGATAGAGTACCGAAATGTCAAGAAGTATGTTGAGTATGATGAAGAAATAAACTTTAACATTGTTGGAGAATACTGACGGTGTTCGAACCGCTATTCGAAATAATAATATCGGGTTTATTGTCACTGTTCACATCGACTACAGCTACTGACCGTGGATGTATACCAACTGTGTAAACAGTTTGGTGAGAAAAAGTGCCGTTGCCTGTGTTGAGAAGAACACGGACGGTGTCTGAATCTTCATTTGCAGTAACAATATCGGGTTTATTGTCGCTGTTTACATCAGCTACTGCTACTGGTGCTGGTCTTTGACCAACTGCGTAAGTAGTTTGAGGAGAAAAAGTGCCGTTGCCTGTGTTAAGAAGAACACTGACGGAGTTTGATTTAGAGTTTGCACTAACTATATCGGGTTGCTTATCACTGTTCACATCAGTTACTGCTACTGACCATGGACGGTCGCCAACTAAGTAACTATTTTTAGAAGAAAAAGTGCCGTTGCCTACGTTGAGATGAATACTAACGGTTTGCGAACCATAATTCGCAGTAACAATATCGGGTTTATTGTCGCTGTTCACATCGGCTAATGCTACTGACCGTGGATCCACATCAGCTGAGTAATCAGTTGAAGAAGAAAAAGTACCGTTGCCTGTATTGAGAAGAACACTGACGGTGTCTGAATCTTCATTTGCAGTAACAATATCGGGTTTATTGTCGCTGTTTACATCAGCTACTGCTACTGACCATGGGTCTAAACCAACTGTGTAAATAGTTCGATTAAGAAAGGTAATATTCCAAGCTGCTAAACAAGAAAAAAAGATTTAGATTACAGTTTTTATCATTAAAAAATAGTATTTGTATCATCTTATTCTATTTAATCTGCAACAGTTCAGCTCATATCAAAGCAAACCAATCAACCAATAAAATCATTCCACCATGTTAATGATTAATTGTGATCTTCGACAATCTCACTACTTACCTTGTTTTCCGATTCTATTTGTCGTCGTCAACGACGTTTTAATCAATTTCAACATAAGCACATTTATTAATCTCTAGTTCAGTTAATACATTTCTGTCTTCTGCATTCATTTTTTCATGTGATGTCATTCTTTGCAATGTCTTTTCAATACAAAAATTAACTTTGTGACATTCTATACATATTCTCACGAATACATGTTGAGATGAGTTAACACTTTGCAATAATCATTAAAGAATGTCTTCGCTAAACATAGCTGTCAGAGAAGACTACAATTTCGATGGAACCTCGTTAAAAAGATACTTTTACTCTATTTTCGTAATATCCAATGAATCCTACGAAGATCTTCCAATCATATGGTAGGTCATTTTATTTAAGTCTACTGGAAAATCTCTTCCCCAAAACGGATAAACATATAATACCTCGAAGTATAGAATGCGAATGATTGATTCTTTCCGAGCTTTACATGGGCAGCGTAAAATGAACAAGAGGGATACAGGAGAAGCAAACTTTGTTTTCTTTTGTTTTTCTATAGAACATAGTAGTCCCTTTAACACCTTTAATCCTTAAAGCATCTATAGAAAAGTTAAATTTAACATACAATGGTGGACATTTACATATAAGGTTCAGAGTGAATAAATTATATATTTCGTGAACCTATCACCAGTTACTGTAGCTTTAAGCTGAGTTCTCCGAAAAAGATTCTGTATTTCATTCTACACAAATCTATCTCATAAAGATAAAAGTAAGTGAAATTATTTTAGTAATACTACAACATGTGATATGACTAACTTGCAAAATAATATCCAAAACGAAATGTTGTCTGAAAACTACTTATCATCCATCTAACATATTCAATAAATAAGAAACAGGAAGCTCTAAGAGTTATAGTTTCTCAAACTGAAGAACAATTGATCGATTGGCAACTAAAAAAGGTACTATGATTCGTGTGACATATTACTCACCGGTTGATGTTGTTGATGAGGATGTTGTTGTCCATTGTGCTGCTGCTTCCGTCGATGATGTTGCTACTGGTGCCGTTGATGATGTTTCTTCTATTAATAATGTTGCTGCTGCTGTTGATGATGTTGCTTCTGTCGATGATGATGTTGCTGTTGTTGATATTGTTGTTGTTGTTGTAGATGGGGTTGTTGTTGTCGACTTTGATGATGATGCCGTTGTTGTTGTTGATGATGATGATGATGTTGTT